CACCCTTCGAAAGAAAAGAAAACAAAAAGCAAAAAAGACGACAACAACAACAAAATTATATATTCGAACGAACACAAAAAAAAGAGCTATTGTTTCCTTCTTAACCGTTAAAACTTTTGGATTATCGTAAAAGACCCACACACAAAAAATGAACAAAAATCATCATCCTACCCTTGAGTTGTTAGGTATTTTAGAGTGCTCCGGTATTTGCAGTAGTGCTAGATGTTGGCCAACCCCACTACGCACCTCTTTGATGACGAAGGAGTATATTTATCTGTCACCATAATTTACAAATTTATTTTTTAGGTATTGTACAAACCTATGGATTTAAGATGTATAATCGAATGATTCGTTCTAACGTTCTATTCAATCGAACACGGGTATTCACATCCTAATAACTAAATTACGATATTTTTTAATTAATTTTCTTTGAACAATGATGGTAATTTTATTTTGAAACAGAAAAAATACAAAAAACGATATACCCATGTTCGAAAACGTTCGAACACACATTTATTTACAGGTCTAATACGAAAAAGAAAAAAAGAAAACAAAAGACGTTTCGCAGATAAAATTAAAACATCACACAGGGATAAGAATCTGGGGGTGGCAATCCTAAAAACAAAAAAAATAAGACAAAAATATCCAATCCCGAATCGACAAATCCTCCGAAATAATTTGAACAACAAAAAAGAAACCTTCCGTCATTCCCCCCAAAATGAAAAGAACAAAGATTACTTCAACCCGATCCAATTTATTATTTGTTCATTATTTATTTCTCAGTTTTTTAAGAAAAAAACAAAAAAATAATATCATTATTTTTGAGTTATTGCGCTTCGTCATGTATTATTTTTTGTTTTAATTAATTATCTACACCACAAGGATGCTGACACGTAATTTATTCGCGACGTAAGAATTATTAATAACAACGATTATCAATAATAATTATTAATTTAAAATTCGTTCGTATATTAATAATTTTTCTATCTTTTAATATATATATTTTTTTTTTTTTTTTTTTTTCTCCTTAAAAATCAAAGTAGATCGAAGTAGACAAAATTTCTTTTTTGCAAATTATTCTAATTATTATCAAAATCATAGAATAAAAAATGATACGAATGAAATATAATAGAGACTTGTTGTTAGATTACTAAAGTCTTGGGATCATTCTAGTCAGCATGCTTGCGTTTTTTAAGGGCCACACACATCTCGAAACGACGTTTTATTCTTGATTTACATGTTGTGTCCTCGTTGTTACTGAGCTTCTTGATAATGTGACGTCAGGTACCCGCCATCTCACTAGCCTACGAGGAGGCAGAGAGCGATATTATGAAGCGACAACCACGAAACCCCTTCACTGACAAGCTAGTTAACGAAAGGTAAAACACATCATCAACAAACATAATCGAATCTTCACCAAAAATACTACTATACTACTCAATACACATCAGTGATACTTTTTTCTCTGTGATTCGAAATTAAGAGTTTTCATCGTTTTTGTGATCAATAAAAAATATATATATATATATTATATATATCAATATATATATCAATATATATATAAACAAAACAAAACAAAAATACAACAATATTTTCGAAACTTCTCAAAAAGAAAATTTTAATTAAAAAGATATGAAAAGGAGGGGATAAAAGTGTAAACCAAAATTTCAACGTAAAGATATTTTATTTTGTATATTTTTTGTTATTGGTATTTTAAAAATAAAAAAATAACGTTAAAATAAATAACGATGAGAGAAGCTTGGAAAAATTCGATCACTATAACGTGATTACTCTTATCTAACTATCTATCTATCTATCTCTCTCCCTCTCTCTCTCTCTCTCTCTCTCTCTCTCTCTCTCTCTCTCTCTCTTCATCAATATATTTCTTAATCGTTATACTTAAAGAGTAATTCAATTATGGTTAATCTATTATGGTAGTTAGTTCGTACAATACTTTGTTTCCGTAATTATTATCGTAAATTGTGACACTGAGAGAAGTTTTGTCTAAAAAAAAAAAAAGAAAAGAAAAGGAAAAAAAATAATTCGTCACATATTCGCATAATTTTAAACACGTTTACAAATACACTTACACGTACGCGTAATTATTTACATTAATGTACACACATACACGTTGGACTGATTGAATACGAAGAACGGACAGTTTCTCTTTGCTCTTCGCACGTAATTTTCATTGGTGTATCTTTTTATATTTCTTTTTATTTGTTTTTTTTTTTCTTTTTTTTTTTTAATTATTATTCTACGATATATATATACTCACACAAATAATATACGTACGAAGGAGTCAAGGGAAAATCAATGGGTAATTCAAGAATGCGAATTAATTAATCCTTTTCGAACCTTATTCATACTTTTTATTGTCAAATATTTCCACACAAATAATTTTTATATATTTCTTATAATCCTAACTACACACACACATATATATGTTAATGTATGCATAATTTTGATTTCCTAAATATTGGTGTCTAAATAAAAAAAAAGAAAAAGTTCATTTCATTATATAACATTTTGAATTTGTAATAAGAAAAATAATTAAATTATGTGTGTGTGTGTGTGTGTGTGTGTGTGTGTGTGTGTGTGTGATGTAAGATTATAGAGGAATACGTACGAACACGTATGAATTAAATTTTATTGTAAATATTTGTGCTATTAATTTGATAAAAAAAAAAAAACAAAATATTAAAAGTAAAGTGATTGGGATCAATTAAATCGAATATTCTTGATTACTCGAAGTCGTCTGAACACGGTAGGATTAAATTTAACAACAAGGTAAAGGGATATAATGCACGAGGTATAATATACTTGTATACTTATAACACATGGTCTCTCAGGGGATTGGTTGTTGGGTGTCAGGAAGCTTTGTTATCAGAGTTTGTTCTTCTTTGTCTGTCTGTCTATCTCTCTCTCTCGCTTTATCTCTATCTCTATCTCTATCTATCTATCTTTCTCTAAATATCTCTAATTTTCTTCTAATTGTCTTTTTCTCTTATCTGTAATACTTATTCCTTTCTAACTCGAATCATTCTCGTTGCTCGATAATTATCAAATTGTCCTCTTTACGTAGAAAATTTGATTCTATTTTATTTAATTTAATTGCTTTTTTCTTTATATTTTATTTTTTACCTTTCTTTTTTTTTATTTATTTATTTATGCTTAATTTGCTAGAGTAATTATATATTGTTATTATTAATCGAGAGATTTAGAATTATTTTAAAAAAAAAAAAAACAAACAAAAAAAATATCACTTATATATATATATTGATTTGTAATTTTTATTTTATTTATCTATTAATTAAAAAGAGCAACTGAGGATTCTTCTCTCTCTATCTCTCTCTCTCTCTATCTCTTGTTCTTTCTTTTTTATTTCTGTAATTCACTTTCTCTCGAATATAAAATGAAATAAGAAAATCAGAATAAAGATCCACAAAAGATGTGTCCCCTCGATCGTATTCGTGGTATTTCGTTCTAATTTCAAGGTAAGCTGATTCTAATCTCGATCTTCTAAGCTTTCTCTCTCCCCATCTCTCTCTCTCTCTCTCTCTTTTTCTCTAATTCTATTTACCAAATCATCTTTTTCGTCTATTTCAATCATTTCCTAATTCTATTTAACCTCTATCTTTTTCTATATTCTTTTTAATCATCTTTTCTAATTCTTTTTGGTCTCTTTTTATAACTTTCTTCTTCTTCGTATGTTTCAATTATTTTCCTATTTTGTGTTGCATTTTCTCTCTCTCTCTCTCTCTATCTCTCTCGCTCACTTATTTTTTTTTTCACTATATTCTTGTTCATCTATTTTAATTTCTATTCCTATTTTCTCTTTATCTCTTTCTATCTCACTATTTCTATTTCTATCTTTCTCATTGTTTGAATTTAATCTGTAAAAAGTTTCTGAGCTTTATCTACAACTTTCTTTAAAAAAAAATATATATATATATAAAAGAATCATATAAAATAAAAAAATATATATGAGAAAGTTTGGTCTCCTCGTGATCCATGATGATTGATGATGATGATGATGATGATGTTAATGAGATGATGATGATCCAGCATACAAGGATTTCCAGGTGTATGATTATTCGCACAGCTCTTCTCGATTAAATGATAGCATTATACTTTCTAAACAAAATCGCATGGTCGTTCGATATATATTTATATCACCTATCAGCATTTTATTATTTTTTTAATTTTCAATTATTATTATTACTATGATTATTCTTACCTAACCCTCTTTCTCTCTCTCTCTCTCTTTTTCTCTCTTTCTTTTTTTCTTCTATTTTCCTCTATCTTTCTATCTCTTTCTATATATATATGTATATATATATATGTATATATATATGTATATATACATAAAATGATTCACTTCACAAGAAGAACTCAAATAATCAGTATTATACGTCTAATAAAAAATGATTCATATATACCATTATTTTTTCTTATCGATGAAATCACACCAACACACATACAAATCTTATAATTAGTAATTTTTTTTTATTAGACGCATAATATACAAAATTA